CAGGAATTGATTGTTTCTTATCTTACTTGTCTTTGGTTGGCATCAGTTTCTAATTCTAGCTACCTGCTTCTGGTTGTAGTTGACTGCAAGCCGCAGGCGAGACAGGCTGGGGATTCCTTCCTCAAAGGCCTGTTCATCCAAGGAATCCTGAGTTTCATTTCCACAGCTGTTCAAAATAGTGGTTACCTCGCTCTGGTTGCGACACATGCCCAGCAACTCCACGGCAAACTCCTGACAGATCTGCTCCAGGCTCAGGTACTGAGGCTGTAGGAGAAATTAACCATAAGTCAAGAAGCAACAGAGACACCCGTCATGAATAGTGAGCAGGGATAACTATGAATCTCCTCAGACCTTGAACTCTGGCTCTTTCTGTGACAGCTTACGGAGTTCTCTGCTGAGACTGAAGGCGCTGAGCATGGCATCGTCAGAGGTGATGGACAGGTAGGCACGGCTGGCAATGCCGCGATAGGTATTGATGCGAGACAGGGAGAACTTCAGCAGGTCATACTGCCGGCCGTTAGAACACTCCAAACAGGCGCAGGAGATCTTATGTGGCCACGGGATGACGTGGCCTTTCTGGGTGAGCATGGTAACAATCTCGTACAGGTCTTTCTGGCAGGCTAAAGTCAGAGGGGTCACACCAGGGGCAAACTGAGAGTTGTCAACAGAACGATCAAATATGGCCTGAGAGAAGGATCGTACGTCCATCTTGTTCCCTTTCTCCTGATCCAAGCGGTCCAGGAGACGCTTCACCACTATGGGCTGGTTGGTGTCCACGGCGACTAGCAGAGCCTCATGAATCTGCCGGAAGTCAAACTTGACTCCTTGCAGGAGGGCGTCCATGGCATCCTCGTTGCCCAAGCGGATGGAGAGGTTGAGGGCCTCCCTCCACTGACGATCCTCAGACTCATCCAGCTGGCGGGTAATGCCGTCACCTGTCTTCAAGAGTCCGCACAGCAGCGCTGTTTCCCCCTCCTGAATGGCACTGATGAGCGCTGGAGAGAACCGCATCTTCTTGCTCATAATCTCTCGCCATTGCTCTGGCTGCAGGACAGACCGGGAAAGTCAGCAGCAGTCTCAGATTCACACACTCGAAGTCTTTGATTTTAAAAGATTTTATGCTGTTTGATTATGTTTAGACAACAAAATTACTTGGTTAGATTTGAGAAAAATAAATCATGGTTTGCTTAAAATAGACTTTAAAAGCTTTAACCACAAGGCTTACAAAGTGAACAAAGGTCTGAGGGTAAGCTTTTCTGTTCTGTCAAGATTTTTTGGCACTGAGGCCAAATACACGATTCAACTGATCCTTTGATAAAATAGCAAGATATACTAGGAATAAAAGAACATGCAAATAGGGAAAGATTTGACTTAGAAATGCATGACATATATGAACACAAACATTAGTAAAACATAGAATTCAATTTTTTTAAAAGCTGGTTCGAGCTTATATGAAGCACAGTAGGGTTAGACTTGCTTTTTTGTTTTTGTTTTTTTAACCCGCAACTACTTTTTTCATATCAAATAACAAATAAAAGCCAAGAGCCAATAAAAATCTCCTTACCGTTAGGTTTTCCATTCCCAATGACAAAACAACACAATTTTGAGAGGCGGCTCTAAATCGAAAACAGAAGCAGAAACAAAACCTGAGAAAACCTCAGAAACCTGAAACTTCAGGAATGAAGATATTGGCAGATTGCACAATAATTCCAAAAGAGGAGAACTGAGAACTCCGTAGTCCTCTGATCATGTGCTATCGGCTGACTACTGAAAAATCAACGTACACAAACTCAATAACAAATTTCAAAGGCCCTTGGGGCTAGGCCAATTAAAATGTTACCGGTTCAAAGTACTTTATGCTTGGCTGGGCCCAAACCAAACTGTGACTGTATTCAAACAGAAATTAATTCCGGTCTCTCAATTGGAAACAGCACCATGGCACAATTAAGGCAGCTGTTACTGAACACGCAGCAGCTGTCACCATTTCTCCCAGAGGAGCTGCGAGGAGCAGTGGGAAAAACAAGGAGCTGCAAACATTTACAAATTTTCACGGGTCTGATTTATATCTTTTCCTGGAAGTCAGGTTTTGTCCATTCATTAAAAATGCACGTTATAATTATTGTCTTGAAACACGTAAAGTTTCCCTTGATTTTACACCGATCATGTTTATAGGGATTTTTCAAAATCACTGCAATTTTGGCAGCATTCTCTGTATATTGCTGCTAAACTCACAGCACCAACTACACTGTGTGCGCTCATGGCTTTGGTCCAAATTTGTTATTTCGTTTACGTTTACTTTAGAAACAGAAATACATCCCTATACTCCTTTACTACAAAAATGTCTACCAAGCAGCTGATGGTACCACACTCGTAAAAGAAAATATGTGCTATGTTTAAATGATGGTCAAACAAGTTTTAATGTTTGACCATCATTAAAACTTGATGGTCAAACATACCCTCACATCATGAAATCAGTGAAATGATTGTCAGAATTAATAATCCTGTTAGCAACACATAGAAAACACTTTTATATCATTGGCTACAAGAGGATTTCTTTATCACGTAGAAAAGACTGAGACATACTGTTGAGAATGAACTTCTTTTTCTTATATTAGGATATCTCAAGGATTAAATGTGTAGTTAAACTTCTGTACAGTGCTAGAAAGTTAGTTTGACTAGTCTGGCACACTGATTAACTGATTAACAGTGAATCCGGACTGACTTCAGCTTCTTGTAAACATAATTCTGAACAGCAGAGGGAGTAAAACTACCTCTGTAGACTTTAAGATGAGCTCAAAACTGAGACTGCTGTTCTTCTGGTTGAACAGGAATAAACACAAGGTCGATTTGTTTTGGTCAAAGATTTAGTATTTATTGGTTCATAATTACAGCAGAATTTGGTGAAGAAAAGGGACTGTTCTGGTTTGGTCTAAATGCCCTAAACTATCATCTATTTGATCTTTCATGTTAGCACTGAGGAGATCTAAGACACGACTTTCAAGATGAAGCTGAACAAGAAGTAACAAATATTCTGTGGTTTATTAAAAACGTCTACACATTTCCAAAATGGTACTAAAATCTTATCTTCCCCACATCCAAAGCAAAGCAAACCAAAACTAAACTGCCCAATAACAAGTCCTCTCATGTACCTTCACAGGGACGTGGGAGTCTATTATGAGAACACACAGTGGTGCTCTTTACTCTATCGGGTGGTCACTGCAAACCACCTTTGGCTACTCTATGCTGAATGAAAACACACGGCTGATCTCTGTGGTGACCTGTATGTACTACACTTCAGTACATTAAAAACACATTTCACTTTAAAATTAGTGTCTTCACTTTCTCTCCTTTTCTGAGAATTCTCCTTATCCCCATTTGCAAAAATGACAACAGCCAATCTAATGAGTGTAAATTATATAGAAAACATAGTTCTTTAACTCATAACAAATAACCCCTTTATTTGCATTTATTAACCATCCCAAAAAGAAAGCAAAAGTTAGCATAAAACTACACATTACACCGAAGGGAAATCATCTGAAACTACAGTGAAAATAAAAACTTGCACCTGAATTAGTGGGATTTTTATCCTTATTACTCATAAAGCAGAGTATGATCTTCAGCCATGTCAAAATTATAGACAAAAGATATTTCACTAAACATACAAAAACAACTGTACTTCTCATGCTTTCACTGACCACACAGAATAGACACCACCGACTTGTGCAAAAACTACTCTGTGAGGTGTTACTATTGAGGCGATTGAAAGTGTGGGTTGTAAAGGTTTCCCTTTCTATAAGTCAAGCCACACAATGTCTGCTCTTCTCAAGAAAGAGACGCTTTGGGACAATGTTCTAAATTAGTGTTCTAAATGTTCAATGTTCTAAATCTTTTGGCAAAATGCACACAAATACATCTGGAGGAAAGAAATGCAAGGAAGATATTTTGTTTAAAAAATCTAGACTGTGAAGCATGGAGGAGGGATCATCGTGGCTTGTAGCTGCATTTTTGCAGTGAGGCTGTGTTGGAAGAATTTAGGTAACAATTCAAACTTATACCAGAAATTTTACTAAAGAAGTCAAGACAGCAGCTGACCTTAACTAGGAATGTCTGACTCATGCAACAAAATAATACAAAGCAATGACAACATCACAGAATCACCGATAAATGAAAACTGGTTTGCTGGGGACAGTTGTTCAAGTTTTCTCACAGTTGTCTCATAAGCAGCAAGAAACATCTGGTAAAGGTTGTTGGTGTTTCCAGCCGGTGTGTTCAATGAAAACATGAAAATGACTGTTTTTGTTTAGTTTGACTGTGTTCGTATGATAACTGTGGCTCAGATAAAGAAGTAGTGGTGCAGAAATCTTGTCAGGATGTCAGACATTTTTATGCAACTCGACACGTTTTTAAAACAAATTCAATTTTCCTACTCATTTTATGTCACCAACTTAAGAAGACATTATGTGCGCTGCCAACTGAAATTATTACTTTAACAGTAAAAACACTACATTAAAAGACATTCGGATGTCTCTCTGAGGCTGATATTTACTCCTCTTTACAGAGTAACCATGATTTAACACTTGAATGTGACATTATGCTTGAGACGTGAAAAGTTCTGGAGGCGGAGAAAACCAGCAGTGTGTGTCAGAAGCTATCCAGACTACTTAAAACATGAGTGAAGAGGAACTAATAGCACTGAAATACTTAAAACCAAACATACTAAATCTCCAACGAGTTGAATTCTAATGAAAATCACTGACACAGCCCTAATTCATTAAAAACACTAAGATAAAGCATCAACAAAAAAGGTGAACATCCTCTATATTCACAAAAATCTCCTCAAAGTTAAATAAAAAATAAAATAGCACTTTTAAATGTACAAAAAACAGGTGTGTTTCACTTCAGGTGTGAACAGAAAATAATGTTCACATTGTGACAAACAGTGCAGGTCAGCTGAATAGATTTCAGAGTTCTTCCATCCTCGACTCAGCATCCTCCTTCATCTTTTGCTCCTGCATGCGACTGCGAGTGGAGCCTACGTGAAAACAAAAGCGATGAAAATCAGTCTAAATAGCTAAATTACAGACTATGACATGGATGGAGCCAGCATGATGTTGCACAAAGGGTTTCTGGATTTGGATTTTCAAGAATCAACAGTCCACGTATATGGTCCGGTCTACTTATATATGTACATCGGACATTTTAACATTGAGTCTATAAGGATTTACTCGTTTTTGAAGACAGCCTCAATTAGGGATTGGAGGAACTGTAGTTTTTGACAGACACTTTTAGCTTGATTGGGGGGGGGGTTTAGCCCCTGAAGCCTTTTATTGATACAAATACTTACTCATCTCTGCAAGCTTCTGAATCAGTGTAGAATCTCCTCCAGATTTGCTGTAAATTAGATAAAATAAAGAAAGCTTTAATGAAATCGTTCTTCATACTGCAGAATCATACAGTGAAAACACAAATTTTACATATTAATTGCAGAAGCTGATCTCAAAATGAATAGCGAATGTATGCTGTTGTTTTTAAGTAGTGCAGTGGCACTTTGGGGACACTAGAATGTGCTGTCGTGCATATCTGTAAATAAGTGTTCATCAAGTGATGCTAATAGCGCTTGTAATTGATTACTTAAATAATAAATATGCAGCTTAGGGCTGTTCGATATAACGATATATATCGGATGACGATATAAAAACGTTTATGTTTCATTTTACGCTATCGTTTCTTTCGTGGTTTTGCAAAATAAACTGTTTACGGCAATATTTTTTCATTGTTTTGATGGTCACTGTAGTGGCTATATTAATTTCTTAAAGTTCTCTCTTTCTCTTATATTTAATATAACCACACTACAGACGGACAAGCGCCTGTTTTTATGCATTGTCGTTAGCAACAACGATGGTAAAACCATCACGTGTCCGCTTGTTTATTTTCCACATAAACCTTTCACAATAAAGCTCAAGATCCTGTTGAGACTTTTCAAAATAAACTGAATCACGTGAAATAGTATGCAGAGTATTTACCGATGAGAAGCAAAAAAAGAGCCGTCAGGTGCTAAAAAATAAACCTTAGACTCAAACGTTAGAACAGGCTTTTCCCCGCAGCACGCCGCAAAGAAAACGGCGGGTGTTAAAACCTATGTCTAAAAATGTGTAGTTTCATGCATCGGTAAAACACTCGACTCCAGATACACGACGCCCAGCTGGAAACACTTCAGCTACCCGAGATTCACATTTTTGTGATTTATATCGTTATCGACGATAGATGTTTTATATCGGGATATGAGATGTTGGTCATATCGCACAGCCCTAATGCAGCTTATAAAGAAAAAGACTAAGAAATATATGTATTAGTCTTTTGTTTGGCTTTTTATGAACAGCTGTTTTTGCCATCTGACTATTTGCAGGGATATAAAGGAAGAACACAATAAATGTAACTATATGTCTGTGTTTTAATGCGTGCGTGACAAGTCTCGCAGGCCACGCAAAAACCACTTGCACAGCAGGTTTGTTCCAGTAACACAACATGATGAGCAAGTATTCCTTCTCCCATGAAAAAGCTGGAGTACTGCAAGAACTC